GGGGATCATGAAAGACTGACATTCAGCAGGGAGCCCCACTAGCTATTGATAACAAGAGGCCCATGAGGTCCGCAATGGAGCAAACTTCCTAAGGAAGTGGCTACAGCAGAGCTCAAGAACACGGAGTAAGAGGCTAAATGAATCAGGAGGGGAGAAAGCTCCAGGCCCAGGGAATGGCATCACCCAGTCCCTCCTGCTCTCTGCCCTTGTAACCAGCCTTCTACTCTGTTTGTATGGACTCCATCTTTACTAAGATTTCACATAACAAGTGAAATCACGCCCTATTCTATGGCTGGTGAATTTCACTTCAGATAGCTCTTGAAATATACCTGGGAGTTGTCCTGGGCCTCATGGAGCTCTGCCAGGGCAAATCACAGCAGAGAAGTGGTCCCCAACCTGTACTCCATTGCTCCTCCAGCTCAGCTGGGGGAAGCATGGAATTATCCACCTAGACTAGAAAAGGCACTCCAGAGAGCTAAACACTGGTAGCACCTCATGCCAGGGCTCACAAAATGAGACGGGAGCTGGGTTCCCAAGAGCAGTGAGCCTGGAAAAACTGATGGTGATCATCTCCCATGCAGCCTTGTCAACTGTGGCCTCACATCCATCTCCTGTGCGTACCTGGCCTCAGTGCTCAGTGCCAGCTCCAGCCTGGCTGAGCTGGACCTGCAGCTGAATGACCTGGGCAACCGTGGTGTGAAGCAACTTTGTAAGGGGATCAGGAATCCAGACTGCAACCTCAGAATCCTGTGGTAAGTAAGACCCCAAGATTCCTTCTGGGCAGAAGGTAAGGCAATGGACACAGGTGTATTATTAGATGACAAGACATAGAAAAGAAAAGGGACAGATAATGCACAGTCAGCCTGGCTCCTGGCCAGGTGTGCCACGACTACCCTGGGACTTGGGTAAGTCATTGTCTTTTTTAAAACTCAGTTTCCTCATCTATTAAATAAAATGTCACACCCACCTCTTAGATTGTAATGACACAAAATGTACATATGTAAAAAC